CGCTGCCGCAGCCGCTGCTGCAGCTGCTGCCGGCGCCTGCAGCAGCAGCCGCTGCTGCTGCTGCTGCAGCCTGACGGAGATCTGCATGCGACGCCATGGCCACTCAACTAGCTGCTGCAGGACGGGGAGACAAATGCTGCAGCAAAGGACACCGCACGCACAGGCGCAGCAGCATGCAGCAGCAGGCAGCAGCAGGCAGCAGCAAGCAGCAGCACGCAGCCCCGGGCCGCGGCAGCAGCAGCAGCCCGCGGGCCGCGCACGGCAGCAGCGAGCAGTAGCAGCAGCAGCAGACAGCAGCGCCGGGGGCCCCCAGGGCCATTAGGGGGGCCCCCAGGGTCCGAAAACCCCAGAGGGGGCCCCCGGGGCCAAACCCTAGCAGCTCACAGCGAGGGTTTGGGGGGGGAAGGGGGGCCCCTCTGCCTTGAGAGGAGAGAAGAAGGGCCCCTGTGGCCCAGCCATGAACAGGTGGGGCCTGCAGGGGCTGCTGCTGCGGGTCTGCTGCTGCTGCTGCTGCTGCTTCTGCTGCTGCTGCTGCGTGCGCTGGGGCCGCTCGTGGCTGCGCGGGCACGGCGACAGGCAAAAGCTGCAGCCAATTCAAATGTCGAATATTTTGTAGACTAAGTTGGTTGGGAAGGAGACTTGGGGGGCGGGAGGGGCGCGGGGGAGAGACGGCTGCTGCTGCTGCTGCTGCTGCTGCTGCTGCAGCGCAGCAGACAGTCTTGCGCGCGACTGGGGCGCCGGGGCGGTGAACACGGAGCTTTGCGCGCCCGAGAGGAAATAAAGAAAGAGTTAAGTCTTAAAACATTTATTTAAATCCACAAGCTCGCGGGAATACTGCTGAAGACGGCTGTTCGGTCCGGGAGGAGCGAGTCCGTGCCACGGCGGCGAGACCCCGGGCGGGTTATTTCTCTCTTCGGCCTCCGAGGGGGGGAAAAAGAAAGAGAAAAGGATTTTAAGAGTTATTTAGACGGCAGAAACGAAAAGAAAGAGGCCCGGAAGAGCCGCTGGGCCCAGGGATGGGAGCGCAGGCAACAAGTCTAGAAAGGAGGGAAGGAGAGGTTAAGTGGCGGGAGGCGAGATGGAAGGGGAAACAGAGACAAAAAGGGGGTTTCCGCATGCCAAGTAAACGAACAAGTCTTTCTATTTACGCAAATGAGAAAATAAACCGAGAGAAGGACTCATTTAAATGAAGAAGGAGCACAGAATGGACATTGGCATCCGCTCCATGGCCTCCACATTGCCTGGAGTGTATGTACACTCTACGCGTGTCTGGCAACCGAGGCCGCCTTGAGACTGCCTCCCCGTCAGCCTTTCGAGCCTCTTCTTCTTTAATACTTCATTTTTCATTGTTAATATTACTTTTTAACCATTAAACTTCAAGAATTTGCGAGAAAACCCCGCCAAACCTGCCGCCGACGCCGCCTCCCTCCGGGCGACCCCACCCAGAACACCCCCCCCTTCCCCGGCCCATTCGGCACCGCCCAGCAGCCCTCCGGGCAAATTAAATCCATTAAAGCTGCACTTTTTGCACTTTTGCGACCCAGCAGAGCCTCCTCTGTCCAGGAAGGCCCTTAGCGGCTGCTCGGGGGGCCTCCCCGCTAGCTGCAGCGCCCGCAGCTCGAAGCAAACCCACAAACTCTTGTCTTGGCCCCAATAACAACAACTCCACCCTTTTCCCCTCAGCCCTCAACAAACCCCCCGGCCTTTGCGCCCACAGACTCCCCCGGGCCAAGAAATGGGGCCCCCGGGGGCCCCCCGCTGCAGGGGGGTTTGCTGGGGCTGTTTGCTGCGGCTGGGGGTCCCTGTGCATGCGCAGCGCTTTGGCAGCTTCAAAGCAGGCCAGCGGGACGCGCAGCAGCCAGCAGCAGCAGCAGCAGCAGCTGCTACTGCTGCTGCTGCTGCACTCGAGGCTGCTGCGCGCTTTAGGCGCCGTAGTTCTGTCTCTTCAGACCCTCAAAAGTGACACAAATAAATCCAAAAGCGCCCTCTAACTCAGCAGCTCATAGGCAGCCAAAGGCACAGGCTTCGAAGCAGCAGCAGCAGCAGCAGCTGCTGCTGCTGCTGCTGCTGCTATTGCTATTGCTGCTGCTGCTACTGCTGCTGCTGCTGCTACTGCTGCTGCTCCTGCTGCGCATTGTTAGAATAGAGCTACCGTAGGCAGAGAGTGCGCTGCAGCCAGAGGCAGAAACTAGGGCAGCAAGACTTGTGGCAGTTTTGCTGCTGCTGCTGCTGAACTTCATGAATCTTCAAAGTTCTATTGGCTTCTCAAAAAGTGAAAAAGAGCTATTAAGAGACACAAATGGCCATTTGCTGCAGCAGAAGGCCTCGGGCTCTTCGCAGCAACTGCTGCAGCAGCGGCAGCTGCTGCAGGTGCCACAGCTGCTGCAGCTGCTACAGCTGCTGCAGCTGCTGCAGCAGAGCTGCTGCAGCAGCTGTAGCTGCAGTGGCTGCTGGACCTTGCGCTTCCAGTGCGCTACTTGCTGCTCGCGCTGCTGCTGCTCTTTTTGCTGCTGCTCAGGTGCCAGCCTGTGGGGCCAATTTGCTGCTGCTGGCTTTGTGGCATTTTTTTGTTTGCGATTTGCTGAAGAGCTTCTTGGCCCTTGAAAGCTGATGGGGCTTTTTAAAAGAAAAAGAATTGAAAGTCAAAGCCCAGAGCTGCTGCTGCTGCTGCAGCGCTGCTTGCTGCTGCAGCAGACTACCGCACTGCAGCGAGCTGCCCGCATTGAGCGCGGAAACCCTAAACCCTAAACCCTAAACCCTGGCCAGCTGGGGGCCAAGTCCACCTCCAGGGGGCTGCTGCTGCCCATCTCAAGAGCAGCAGCAGCTTTGCTGCTTCTTTGTTCAGCTAATCTTCAGCAGCAGCAGCAGAAGGAGTTTTGGAGGGCCAAAAGCCTGAGCTTGAAGAATCTTTCTTCAAAATCCTTTGCTGCTGCTGCTGCTGCTGCTGCCGCTGAGAAGCAGAGCCCGGCGGCCGCTGCCGCTGCCCCTCAAAGCCGAAGCTGCAGTCCCACTGCAGCACACGAGCCCCACACAGCCTCCAAAAGTTCACTCTTTGCTGCTGCAGCAAAGCTGAAAGAAGGGAGCAGCAGCCGCAGCAGCAGCAGCAGCAGCAGCAACAGCAGCAGGAGTATGTGCAGCAGCAACAGGTGCAGGCGCAGCAGCAGGAACAAGAGCAGCAGCAGCAGGCGCAGCAGCAACACGTGCATAAGCAGCAGCAGCAGCAGCAGCAGTGTGTTCAACAGATCCGTCTTAAAGGCAGCTGCATGCGGCGGCGTGCTGCTGCGCATTGAGCTTTGCCGCTGCGCCGCGCTGGGGGCTCCGAGCCTGTGTGGGGCCCGGCAGGTACTGCAGGCAGCAGCAGCTGCAGCAGCTGCAGCAGCTGCAGCAGCAGCTGCAGCAGCGGCCCCTCTTGCTGACTTTCTCGCGGCTGATGTAGCTGCGGGGGGTGGCGCTGAGGGCGGCGTCTAGCTCTTGGCAAACAGTCCGCTGCTGCGCCTGCACAAGAGCAGCAGCAAAGTTCTGCAGCAGCACTGCGTGGTGCAGCAGCAGCAGCAGCAGCAGCAGGCGGCCTGGCCCTGCGGAGACGCCCTGGACCCTCTTCGCTGTGCTCTGCTGCTGCTGCTGCTGCTACTGCTGCTGCTGCTGCTGCTGCGCCTCACGTGGGTTTGCTGCAGCCTGTTGATCAGCTCTATCTCCTCGCGCTCCAGTGCTGCTACCTTGGCCGCAAACTCCTGCCGCTGCGCAGCGCAGCACAGCAGCAGCAGCAGCAACACAGCTGCTGCCAGCAGCTTCTTGCGAGCAACTGGCACGACGGGCACTCCTAATGCGGCCTTTTTATGCAAGACCAGCTGCACTGCAGGGCTGCTGCTGTTTCTGCTGCTGCTGCTGCAGCTAGGAGGAGCAGCCCCGCAGAGCGGGGATGCTGCTGCTGCCACTGTGCTGCTGCTGCTGCTGCTGCTGCTGCTGGCATTCCCACCTTGCGTTCCTCTTCAGCTACTCTGGCGTCGTAGTTGGAGTGTGTTGCTTCGAGGCGTTTTTGCTAAAAATAAATGCAAAGATTTATCAGAACAAACACTTAGAAGTGTGCTTTGCTGCTGCTTCAGCGTTTTCGCGGCCATATATCCTCCTGCTGCAGCTGCTGCAGCTGCCGCAGCTGCTGCAGTTCATTCACACTAGGGCCATTGGCCCTGCAGTGCTGCGCGAGAAGCGAAGCAGCAGCACTTATAAGACTGAGCAGCAGCTCAATTTTACAAGTGCTGCGTGTCAGTGCAGATAATGGAGAAGACTTTACTGTTTTCTGATGTTGAAATTGAAATAAAGTTGGATAATTAGACTAATATTAAAAGCCAGCAGCATTCAGGAGCTCAGCAGCACCTGTTCGAGCCGTCTTCTCTCGCGAGATTGCTGCTGCTCTCTGCGAACTTGCTGCGAGCGCTGCATGTTGTATTCCTGCTGCTCTTCATCATAATGCCGCCTCTGTGCAGCAGCAAGCGCGTGTTCCTGCTTCACCCGCAGCACGTCTTGCCTGTCCGCAGCACGAGCGAGCCAGGGTTTAGGGTTTAGTGCCGGGATACGGGAATAAGCTGCACAAATTGGCTGCAAGTGGCTATTGGCGGCACTCGAAGAATTTTCAAAACTCCCATAATGCTATTTGACTCAAAATAAAAGGCCTGGAGCTGCAGAGGGGGCCGGAAAGCTCTAAGTTCAAGTTTCGGGTGCACACAGAGTCAGTGCTAGCTGGCGGGGAAGCTGGTCTGCCTCTCTAGGTCCGCTTTTTGCGAGATTTCTTAAATATAAATGCAAATTCATGTTAAAAATGCACTTATTGCAAACCTTTTGGCTTCTGCTTGCCGCCTGCGAGCCTCATCTCTGGCCTTTTTGTCGCGCTCGCGCTGCGCGGCGTTCGCCTTTTTTATTTCGAGGATCTGCCGCGCTTTCTCGGCTTGTTGCTGCCACAGCCCAAAAGGAACATTAAAGGCAACGAAATGAGCGCTGGGCAGCGCAAGAACAGCAGCAAACAGCAGCAAACAGCAGCGAGCAGCAGCAAACAGCAGCCACAGGGCACTGTTGCATGCGCACCTTCTGCCGCATTTCTTGCCGCCTTCTTTCCCGCTGACGGGATTCGTCGAGCGCGCGGGTTTTCTGCATAAGCTGCTCCACTTTTTTTCTGGCTTTTGCATCTTCGAGCTGCGCGAACACCCGGGGTTTCAAAAGCACCATTTCAACGCCAGGGGCGTGGCGGGGGAGCCCTGGGAAGTTGAACTGGAGTGGCAGAGGCTGCTGCGCTGCACAGTTTGCTGCTGCTGCGGGTCCAAAACAATTGCTGCTACGAAGTGCTGCTTTTAAACGGGAAAAAGTGGCGCTGCTACCGCCGAAGTACCCGCAGCAGCGCTATGCGGTTAGCCAGCAGCTGGGCGTCGAGTTCCGCCTGCTTCCGCTGGTCCTTCGCCTCGGCCAGCGAAATCTTTTCGGAATGCGGCGGGGCCGCCATGGTGGCTTTTGCGGGCAGTTTGGCTGCAGCAAACGAAACTCCTCGGGCTGCGCAGCAAGACCTGCTGCCCCATGTGCTGGCTGTGCATGCGGCTCGGGGAAAGCGGGGCAAAAACGGCCAGTCAGAGCCCCCCAGAGCTAAGCAGCTTCTAATTTGGAAGTTTGGATTCACTTAAATAACAAGATGAAGCCACTTTGGCGAAAAAGTGCTTCTCGGGGTGTCCAGTGGACTCAGTTGCTGCTCCCGTCTACCCAGCTTGCTGCAGGGAGTGCTGGCCGGAGAACTTAGAATATTTAATTGCAATTTTTTGAAGTAAAAGAGTGTTGGAACTTCAAAGCTGGTTCTCTGCGCAGGAGCAGCAAGAGCTACTTGTGCCTAGAAGCATCTTGCTGCGCAGCTAGAACGAAGTCAGATCTGCACTTCTAATGATGGAGTTTCGCTGGGAACTTCTCGTAAAAAAGGCATAAATGCAACAGTGGGCCACAGAGAAACAAAGTGCTGCCTTATGGGCCTTATCGCTGGCCAAGTTCTGGAAAAAGATGAACTGCAGAGGGGCAATAGCTACACAAGGAAGCTTTTGCCGGTGGCATTGGGTTTTGTGTGAGGCGGGGCTCCCACAGAGAGGCTTTGTTTAAGGAAAAGGAGCTCTTTGCATTAACAAGTGCTGGAGTTTGGGAGCATATCTTAAAAAAGAGCAGCTACCCGCTGCTGCTGCCCAGCTCTCATGCCGCAGCTCCTCGCCGGCCGTGCGGCTAGCCAGACGGAACAAGAGTCCTTTGAAATTCCCTGCTGCTGCTGCTGCTGCTGCTGTCGTTCTTGAGGCCTTTAGACCTCGTATGGTCACCCTAGGAAACAGTACTGGCTGCAGCCCCGAACTGCATGGGTGCGCTACCCTGCACGCCCAACGCGCTGCTGGGAGGGGCCCCTAAACAAGCATTCTGCAAGCAATTCTGCAGCAAATGCGTTGAAGTTCTTTATTTAAACTTCCAAAATTCGGTAAAGTGGGAGTGCGGCGCTGCACTGCTGCTTGCAGCAGCAGCGAACGCTGCCCACAAGCTGTTGCCCCACAGGTGACCTGGCCCACTGCGTGACAGACCGGCTCTGTTCCCGCGGCAAATTATTCGGAAATATGTCAGTAATCATTTTAATGAATAAATAAATTCAAATTCCGCAATTTTTGAGGGATGTTCAGCAGAGTGTGTGGCAGGCGGCACCCGCTGCAGGACACGTGTGCGGCTGCAGCAGCAGCAGCCTCGCTGCGATCCTCCCTCTGGCTGCCCCTCTCACGCGTATATTTGCATTCTTTTTGGAAGAGAAACAAAAGAAATAAGGTGGAGAGTTCTTTCGAGTCTGCTGCGCTGGCTTGACTGGCACATCTCCCGCGCAGTGGGAAGTGCCGCAGCGCCTGGTGCTCTCCACACCTGCTGCTCGGATTGGAATACGGGTTTATTCCCTCTCTGGGGCCCCGTATGCCATTAAATTCAAGCAGTTTTTAATTCTGCAGTCTTTTTGGATGAGAAGCAGCAGCTCGATTGCCATAAATTCTCCCGCAACGCCCCAGCTGGCTCCCTGAGGCCCTGATGGGTGCAAACATTTTATTCAAAATTGGCGAAAGCACCGTCTTCCGTGAGCTCTAATGAATATCTTTTGTTAATACTGGGGTCTAGAAAGCTCTGTTTTGAGGCAACTGGGACAGAAGTAGGGCCCAAGTTTCAGTTTTGCAACTTAAATTAGATTGAGCGTAGCGGCTCTGCGCGAGTCAAAGTGACCATTTCTACTAATTTGCGCTCCCTATGGGCTAGCGCAGCTAAAGAAGGGGGGGCCCTGGACTCGGGGCCCCCTAAAGCGGGGCCCCCTTCGGTGGGGGCCCCGAAGGCTCTGTCACTGGCCAACCAGAAGGGTCCCGGGGGAGGCCCTGACTGCGTGATTGGCAGAGCTTGTGGAAGCGCTGCAGCAGCTGCTGCTCGGGGGCCGGCGCTGCAGCGGTTTGAGGCGCTGCTGCAGCGGTTTGAGGCGCTGCTGCAGCGTTTCGAGCTGCTGCTGCTGCGAAGCGCATGCAGCTGGGGCCCCCCCTGCGGCTGCGGCTACTCCAGCGCGTTCAGGGCCTTGTCGAGGGCCGCTATGAGGTCTTCTGGACTTTCGAAACCCACAGAAAGCCGCACGTAGCCGTCAGACATGCCTATGGCGAGGCGCTGCTCCGGCGTCAGCTGCGCATGCGTGAAGACCGCTGGGCAGGTTATGAGGGACTGCGCAGAGCCCAAGTTCTCGCAGAGCGAAAAGGGATAGCCAATTGTGTTCATCAGCTTGACGCCTGCAGCAGAAGCGCGCAGCAGGAGAGCGCAGCAGCAGCAGCAGCGCAGCAGCAGTGGGAGCGCAGCAGCAGTTGGGAGCGCGCAACTGGCGCGTTTTCCGGCGTTTTTTCCGGAAAAGAGGAACAAGTTAGCAAAGGGAGTTCAGCGGGAGCAGGAGCCGCCCAGGGGCTGCAAAACGGCGCCCTCTGCAGGGCCTCGGAAGGAAGTACCGGCCTGAATGCCGCCCTTGACGTCGAAGCCGAGGACGGCGCCGTGGAGGCCGTGGCGGTGGTACTTCTGGGCCAGCGCGCGCTGCGGGTGGCTGTCGAGGCCGGGGTAAAGCACGCGCTGCACCCTGGGGTGCTGTTCAAGAAAGCGGGCGAGCTGGAGCGCCGTGCGGCTCTGGCGCTGCAGGCGCAGCGGCAGCGTCATGGCGAAGCTGAGCGTGTAAAACGCCGTCTGCGGGTCCATGATGCTGCCGCAGATGTTGCGCGTGTAGGCAATGCGCTGGGCCTGCGCGGGGAGGCGCGCGACGGCGCAGCCGCCGGTGGTGGCGTTGTGGCCGTCGAGGAACTTCGTCGTGGAGTGCAGCACCACGTCGGCGCCGTGGGCCAGCGGGTGCAGAATGAAGGGCGTGGCGAAGGTGGAGTCCACTACGAAGAGGATCGCGCGTTCGCGCTGCCGCAGCTTTCCGGAAACGGCCTGCAGCAGCGCCGCGGCTGCTGCGCCCTCCAGCCCCGCGCGCCGCACCTCCTCTTCCGCCAGGATCTCGTCCACCAAGTCCAAGTCCGTCAAGTGCAAAGTTGGGTTTGCGGGCGTTTCCGCAAACACCAGCTTCGTGTTCGCCCGCAGAGCCCGCGCCACGTTCGAAGCCTCCCGGAAGTCCACGAAGTCGAACTCCACGCCGAAACGCCGCAGGTACTCGTTCGCCGCCCGGTAGGTCCCGCCGTACAGGCAAATCGGCATTATGCAGTGGTCTCCTGCGCTCAGATACGTCGTCAGCACCTGCAGCAGCGGCAGCACCGGCAGCAGCAGCGGCCGCGGCGCCGCAGGTGAGAAGGAAAGCTGTGCAGAACGCGGCCCCTGCGCCGCCTCGGGCACCCACTCTGTTGGCTTTCTTTTAAGAGATTAAGGGGCGGCAAAACGCCCGGAATGCACGCGCAAGGTAGCAAAGAGTGCAGGCAGCAGCAGCTGCTGCTGCTGCTGCTGCTGCTGCGCTTACCGCAAGCGTGGCGGCCATGCCGGTGCTGAAGCACGCGGCCCCCGCGCCGCCTTCAATCGCACGCATTCGCTCTTCTAGTGCACTGACTGTAGGGTTCCCCGAGCGGGAGTAAGAGAAGCCCTTCTTGAGGTACTCCTCCACGCTTTCCTGCACGAAGGTGGTGGAGTGGTAGATGGGCTTGGATATCGCGCCCGTGACGGGGTCTGGGGAGACCCCGGCGTGCACGTAAGTGGTCAAATTGTCTTCGGGAGAAGTGCAGGAGTCCATTTTGAAGTTGGAAGCAGCAAAGCCGTGGAGGTCACTCGCAGCAGTGCAGCCTGCGCGCCGGATGTGGGGGGGCACCGAGTCGAAGCTGAAACGAGGCCTCAAACCAGCAACACTCTCCTCTTTTTATCTTTGACAAATGTTTCAACTAATTTCCGAGGTTTTCCGCGCCGAGAAACCTCCAGGTCCTGCTGCTGCTCGGTGGCTACAGCTGCCGCAGCGCTGCGTACTAGCGAGCAGCTGCGTCCCGTCGGCTGCAGCTCTCCCGCCACCCCCCGGCCTCCTTCTTCGGAAATCGCCTTTTTTTTAACTATTTAAAACTCCCATATCTCTTTAAAACAAATAAAAACACCAATTGCCACGCGCTTAGCTCTTCCGACGCTTTCTGCAAATGCCCCCGCAGCCCTACACGTGCTGGGGGGTCCTCGCAGGCACTCCGCCGCCCGCACGAAGCAGCAGAAGTCCGCTTTTTCCCCATTTTAGTTTCTTTTATTAAACAAAAAGTGCATTTGTAGCTGCATTAGTCCTTTTAGAGCTGCGAGACGGCACAATCCGAGGCCCAGCGGTGGCTGTGAGAGCCCCCAACCCGGACTTGCTGCCTCTCTGCTTCCTGCTGCTGACTGCTGCTGCCTGCTGCAGCAGCAACAAAGCCTCAAATGCCTTTTAATTCGCCCATAGCTGCATTAGTGGCAGCACTGCGGCTCCGAGAAGAGGCATTTTGGTCTTTGTGCAATTTTCTGTTTCCCCTGAGCCTTTCAGCTCTCCCCGGAGTGCACACAGTCTCAGCGGCTCGCCGCAGAGCCTTTTCTTGAAATGAGACTTTATTTAAATGAAACAATCACTAGAGGCATTATTTGCTGCTTGCTGCCTCTCTAGAGCAGCAGCTGCAGCAGCAGACCGCAGCAGCAGGCCGCAGCAGCAGTGTGCAGCAGCAGTTGTTTGCCAGGGCCACCGTACGCGCAGCAGCAAACAGCAAGGACTCCTCTGGGGGCCTGGAATGAAAATAGATTTAATAAAATGAATTATTAGAACCTCAAAAATATATTAAACAATTCGACATTTCCTCAAATCCTGTTCAGTGCTGCTGCTGCTGAGCAGCCTGCAGCAGCACACAGGGCGCAGCCCACTGCTGCCTCTTGCTGCACAGCAGCAGCAGACTCAACTTCTCAGACTTGGGGGCCCCCTTGGGCCACAAGCTGCAGCAACGGGGGCCCCCTCGGGCCCCAAGCAGCAGCAACGGGGGACCCC